ACGTAACCGCGGTTAGAGTTCACACCCTTGAACAGGCAAAGTACGCAGTATTCTTAGCCGGCGCCCAGAAGTAACGAAAATGGATTTCCTCAAAAAGAAAGTATCGGTGATTGACTAGATCTAACACATCATTACTACGACTAAGACAAGGAATTGCTGAGGTTTACTTCACATGTATTCAACATTTCACCAAAATATAAAGCTGACACATAATGTCGGCAATATTAGTCAATTTAACTAGAGAAAAACCTGAGAGTGGAAGGCATTGTGTTGTATGAGTAACCTTTTTCGTTTATAAAAAATGGATATTTTGAACTGAAAATGGGTAACAAGGGTAAGAGAAAGTTGTGTTTCATCAAAAATTACACATTATTTCAGTTGCAGTATTTACAGATCTTCGTTTCGACACATCGTAGTAGGTAAATTTTAAAAAATGTCGGAACACAAGTAGTGTACTGGGGTGGGCACAGTGTAAACTGAAACCCGGGCGTAAAAAAACAACTAATAATAATCATGAGCGCTTACGATCAACCTAAACTCACACTGTGGCGAAACCTCTTTAGACCGCTGCTAGATCTGTTGTGGTATCCTCCACTTTGATCGAGACAGCCGAGGGCCAGAAACAAGCGGGCTGGAAAGAAAAATTGTCCAAGGTCTGCTCCGCTTCGTTTAAGTACACGGACATTTCCGATTTGCTGATTTCCTGATTGGCTTCCAGATGTAGGTACTGGTGAAGGACATCGGAGCCGAGGACGGGAAGGTCTGCTATGGTCAAGGCTTCTACCGGCTCCTCGTCGCTCACGCTCTCCGACTTGATGAGCTGCGTATGCCAGTAGGCGCTGGACAGGGTTCCTGGCTCGCTCTTGATGGTCATAACACCACCGGAGCCGGCCATGATGAGCGGAACGTTGTTGTTGTTCTCCACGGGAAGATTGTACATGCCCGGTTCGAACTTGAAAGCGATGCTGCCGCCGCCGCCACTTAAGTGTGGGGACAGGGATTGTTCGTTGTAGTGGGGGGAGGGCGAGGTTCGAGTCTCACTCGGGGAGTTCTCGGGGGAGGCGTCGGGGGTGTCGAACACAGACGATTCTTCCCGGCTCGGGCTGGACACAGAACAGTCGGGGGAGATCTGGCTCTGTTGGTAGCAGGGTAGGTCAGCCAGGTCGATGGCTGTGGACCGTTTTCCCATGCCGCGTTTGAAGTCGGGGTCGATTTTGACCTGGAGCCTCTCTCTGACCACCGGGTGGACGATCTGTTGTGTCGTGTCAGTCAAGCCGATGCCGCCGGGGGCGGACTGTTGACCCTTCTCTTTCTTCTTGGACTTAGACTTGGACTTTTTGGAGGCGGGAGTGCCGAGAGCGGGGTTTGCATTGGGAGATTTGGCAGGGGCTTTCTTGGGCTTCTTCTTGGGTCTGTACTTATAATCCGGGAACTCCTCTTTATGGAAAAGCATGAGCTTTTTCTTCTCCGCTTCGTACAGTTCTTTGTCCTCTTTCGTTGTTCTTCTCCAGACAGCACCGAGGACTTTACTAATGATTGCGTTGTGAAGTTGTGGACATATATGGGCCATCAGAGTGCGGCACTTTTGGCACCAGATCATGAAGGCATTCATGGGCCGCTTAGGAATCAACTGACCAGCTTTGTCTTTCTTAGGTTTCTCTTTCTTGCAATTTGTAACGACAGTGTAACTTTTAAACAGTTCTTTAGGGTCCACGAAATTCCACCGGAACGGCACTCTAATCCCCGCAACGACATCGATAAGCATTGTCACTTTGTCCTCGGGGTTTTCCAACTGATTCACATTCACTAAGTCATCGACCGAGTACTTTGTGCACGGGCTCATGCGGAGAAGTTCGGCGGCTTTTTCTTCCAGTGTCCACTCACGAGTGTTGGGGAAGGGCTCGTGAGGGGCCCATCTACTCCTCATCAGCTGAACATCAGCTCGGAACTTTTCATCAGTGTACGAATCGACAGAACTCTGCTTCTCTAACGAAGGCGTAGTCGGTGTCGCGGGGAGATCACCGAAGTCGTAGGAAATTGAAGAGGCCACCGAGACAGAGTCGAGCGCGTCTTCGGATGAAGCCGAGTCGGGACTACCCATGTCCATAACAATGTCATTGGAGTCGTAGGTAGAGTAAGGTCCCTCGTCGAAATCCATGAAAGTGTGCGTACTGTCGAAGTAGTCTGGTCGCATCATATCGTCATTCAACACATCAGGGTAGAAGCTGCTGCTATCCACTGGGGGAACAGGCGATGGTAACTCCATGGCTGAATCAGAAACACTGAATGAATCACGTTTGTGAAAGTCAAAACACGATGAACATCTTCTAGCAAACAGTCCTCGAACGGCACAACACTTACTTCACTCTGGAAAGCACCCAAAGTGAAAAGTCAGATAAAATCCTTAGCGTTGGAAAAGTTCAGTTCATGTAAAGTTCGTAGTAAAACAAGCGTGGGTTACCCCAGAGTAAAAACGAGAACACAAGTTGACCCAAAACCATGTGCTCTCCTTTTTATACTGCTCTCACGGTACCACGCTTCTCACGAAGGGGGAGGAGCTACCGCGAGCGCTGATTGGCTGATAGAAATGTAAACACGCACGCGGCGCGCGAGGGTATCGAGGCCCTCGCTGGGACAAAAATGCTCGCCGTCTTCTCTTCTCTCTCTCTCTCTCTCTCTCTCGCACCACGGGCTGAGAGAGGCTAGGCTATTGAAGCTAAAAGCTTTGCATTTAAAAGACAGGATCAAAAAGGCATTTTGATCATTTATGACTGGAACAATATCTGCTAAAAAAAATGTCAGATACTGCTGTGGAAAATTTAATGTCTGGTGTATGGAAGAAAAGAGGTCAGGTATATTTCTTGTCCACCTAAATAGGGACCCAGTGAATCCACGCTGACTGACCACCTCTCGCTCGCTGCCCCTGAATTGTCTTGGCCCCACCCACCCCTCGTGGCAAACTCGGTCACCCACGAAGTTGTGAGTGACCGGCCCAGCTCGAATAGCCATGGCCTACTATTGAAACCTATCAACCATCGCTTCAGCACGGTCAGTGGTTTGTATGTCAACGTACTAACTCCTGGTCAAATCGGGCTCTGTTTGACGCAAGACCGGCCCTTATCAGCAAGCGAATTTGGCCGAAATACGGCGCATCGGAAGCTACTTCACGTCTGATAAATTATGTTCTGGGTCTGCGTTGATAAATTAGTTTCGAGGTATTTTGTATTATCATTTTATTAATTGCGTTGATCAATTAATTTCGAGGTATTTTGTATTTTTATTAATTAAAAAAAAAAAGAAATTAAGTATTGTTGGAGTCATGAAAAGTGCAGTCCAGAATCTAGATCTAGATTAGCCCGCACTATTAACAAACAATCGGGGCGGCTGAAACAGTCAGTAAACGCGCACTAGTG